TGTGATGCTGAATGCCCATACCGATTACAGAGCTGACATTGTGAATTTGGGTTAGCCTGACCTTCACCATCCCACATACAATCGCGCCTAAAATGTTGTGGCCCTTAACAAGCGTGACAATAAAAGGGTGGACGATTTTCGGGCCGCCTGTGCAAATTGTAATCCCGCTGTTCTTTAGGGTAATCAGACTGACGGAAATTTTGATAATTTTGCCTGCGATTTTGAGGTTGCTGTCTGGGCTGTTCTGATTGAGCTGAAAGTTTTTGTATTGCACTTGTCAAATCTTGAATTTGTGATTTCAGTTCATGTACGACTGACGGGTTTTGTTCGGCAACAACAGCTTTAGGTGTAATTTGTTGTTTGATGGCAGAAACAGATATCTCATCATGTAACCTGTACCCGTATGCTTCGCCCATTTTGGCAGCTGATAGTGCACTATTACTGTCTTTGTGGTTACCTGCCCTTACAAAGAAAGCTAACTTTTCGGGAAGACCCTTGATGAATTTGGCGAGAATATCATGATCAGCTTTGTGTAATAATTGAGCTTTTTCTACAAGCTGGCAGTAAAAATCTTCGAGTGCTTGACCCGGTGACAACTTTATGTGTTCAAAAACCTTATTTTCTAGCATGATTGTTGGACTTTCCCAATCGAGATTAACATATTTTCTCTTAAACAGTTCAATAAGTTTTTCCCAGGAGCTTTTGTCATTGAATGTTAATGAGTTAAACCACGTGAGGGCCGGGCCCGTTAACTGGAGGTGAAAAGCTGCTATTCGCCTTTGGTTTTCATAAGGCATGATATTATGTAGTGTAGCGAAAGAGTCAAATTCGCGCAAGAAAACAAGTCCATTTTCATGGGGATATCCCTCGAATTTCCTACACGGAGCTAATTTTTCCATGAAAGTTGTATGTACTATTCTAGGTATACTTGTATGTTCTAATCTAGGCGTACTTGTAGTGTAACATGCACTTGTGTTATAAGTCAAATTATTTTGATGCAATCTGTTAACCAAGCTTATTTGTGGTGTTAAAATTGGCATAGAACGATCTAATTTGTTGGTTTGAGAGGGCCTAGTCGGGGCTAATAAATGTAAACTTTGATCTTATTCTTGGTTTTGAGAAGGCCTAGTCGGTGCCAATAAATATGAACTTAAAAGTGAATCGTCGGTAAATTCGTCGTCCGTTTCAACTAATGAATGTAAACTTAAAGTAGACTCGCCATCGCTCATATCATTTAAATTGCTATATTTCGTCGCCGACATCAACGAAGAAAAAAACCAACACTGTAATGAGATAAATCTCACGTACAGATAAAAAAATAAATGTGAATGTTAAATAATACGCCTGTAATGAGATGAATCTCACGTACAGAAAACTGGGATTCATGTGATTAAACATAAGGCAACTTGAAGAAAATCATAATCTGCATACAAAACACAATTTAAACACACAAAGTTTATTATTTATTAAATAGTAACATACCAGATAATGAGATCAATCTCACGTATCTGAATCACGAAAACTGGAAATGTAGAAACTTATTGACAGTCAGCAGGCAGACGCAAGGCGATTCTAATAACCCATAACCTGGCTAATTCTGGTATATGATGAATTCCATCGATATAAAGTGCGTAATTTAAATTATATGATGCTTGGGAACGCTCTCTATGTTTTCTGTTCCGTTCCAAGTCAAGACCAAATAATGGAGAGTTTTTATGAAAAAGTGTATTTAACTGTGAAATATATTTATTCACTTCTGTAATTTGATGTTCAAGTTTTTTATCCTGTGTTCGAAATTTTTCTGGAGAAGCGTGGTCGTGGCGCTCGTTCCACAAGTAGATGGAATAATATGGAATTTCGAGAAATACCAGTGAAATTGTAGGATAATCTTTCAAATATTCATATATCTGTTTATATGTTTGACACACGTGTCGTACGGTCGTGAAATCCTCCGATCTTAAATCAATAAATTTTCCCTTTTTCTCTGTGAGATCACAGGTCCCGAGCCAAATGTAGAGTGTAATGTGGTTAGAGTCAAGTTCTTGAATTTTGGTTGCTAGATTGTCTTTAAGCCACTTATATTGTTCTTCAACACCCACACCACGCCTACACCAAAAATAAAGTTTATTCTCGGGGTGTCTCTGTGAATCAACGACCTCCTGTAGATATATCCCCTTGCTGTCAGAGAGTATAACAGGAATTTTCCCTAAATTTCCCAAGGAATTCAACCTTGGTTCGAGGTTCCGAATTTGCTTGTTCACCTTCGATAAACTCATAGGGAAATTGTAAAGTACATTTAATATATTGTCAATAAATGAAAATGTTATTTCTAATAATTCGGACACACATACAAAAATATTGTCAATGAAAAACTGTCTATTTTCAGTATATCGGGCACAGAAAAAAAATTTGACCACCCACGTGGTTTTCCCACTTCAGTGAAAATTATGGAAAAAAAAATGTCAGTTCACATGGTTTCAGTTCAGTTTTACACAAATAAAGTCCTTTGAAATTATATTTAGGGTCCTCCGCCATGTAATAATCCTGTGTGGGGATACGAGAGGCAAAATATTAGGAGCTCATAAAATTACATCCTTTAATGGCGCTTGCAAAACGAAAAAGAGACAGTACCTGTGATTACGATTACATACATGTATATTTAAGTTAAAATTATTCAGATTAGTCCCCTTCATCTTCAGTGAAAGTATGAAAAAAAGTTTGAATTCTGAAACTGTGATTTTTGTCATGATAATAGCCAAAAAATATAGGTAAAAATTGATGAAAAATTGGAAAATCATTAAAAATGTAGTACTTTCAAATGGCCGTAGGAAAAAAAAAGAAGTGTACCACCATATGATTTATTCTTCATTAATTACTTTCTTACAGTCATAAAAACCCAACAATCAGATTAAGAAAAAAAGTTTCATTCTAGAAATGTTTGGTTCATCAGAGGTGTACATCCAAAAAGTATCATGGGTTGTTCCTTTTCAGTTAACATAAACACAAACTTAAACTTGTAAACCATGTAAAAGTTTTAAAGCCAATGGACCATGCTGAATATCTATGGAAATGAAATTTGCAAACACCAATAAAACTGCATACCAAATATGATTGACTTAACATAAGTCGTTCATCTTAAACTGATCTAATCACAAACTTTTACATGTAAATAATGCAAAAAAATCACAGTCAATGAACCATGACTGAGGGGAGAGGGGGAGCCAAACAATCTCTAAGGAAATGAGATTTGCCAATGCCAATACAACTGCATACCCAATATCATTGACCTACCACTAATAGTTCCACTTAAACTTACCTAGTCATAAACTAACACATGCAAACTAAGCAACAAGTTTCAAAGTCAATAGACCATGACTGACGGGGCAGGACCAAATTATCTCCATGGTGATGAGATGTGCCAATGCATAAACAACTGCATAACACATATCATTGACCTTCCACTTATGGTTCAGCTTAAATTGACTTAATTACAAACTAATACATGTAAAATAAGCTAGTTTCAAAGTCAATATAGTTACCATGACTGAAGGGCCGGGCAAAATTATCACCGTGGAAATGAGATGTACAAATGTTTCGCCTTAAACTGACCTAATCACAAACTAATACATGTAAACTAAGAAAAAGTTTCAAAGTCAAAAGACAATGAGTAAGGGGGCAGGGCCAAGTCATTTCTATGGAAATGAGATGTGCCAATACTAATACAATTGCATACCAAATATCATTGACCTACCATTAGTGGTTTTCTATAAACTTGACCTAATCACAAACTAGTATATTGTTGACGCGCCGCTGAAGCCGGAAACAGCACGCTTAGTCTCGATTTTTTGGCTTCGTCGACGGGAGACAAAAAATATATGCATCTATTATTATTGCTCGATAACATTTTGCATCAATAGTGGATCTAAAGTTCAATTTGGGGAATTGACTTCAGGGAATTTTATAAGGAAATGCCTGCTATGGTCTCACTGACATGTACCACACCTTCATTCAATTTCAGCACATTTTTCATATCTTTTATTAAATAAGCATAAGTTAGTAAATAAATTTCAGGTAAAAAAAAAAAAAAAAAACCTGGAAGAAATTATCGAAATTCAAGATTTTAATCTTAACAATAGAGCCAAACGTAGCGAGGCAAAAAAAAAAGATGTCTTTCATGCCCCAAAAAATATATTTCCATTTTATAGAGAACAGATCGGCGTGGGTAGCCTGACTTCGCATCTCTATCTCATAAAGGAAAATTATTTAAGAAAAGACATGTCTCAGATGCTTCGCATAATCTTAAATAATTGAAGATTTTGCAAATAATTGAAATATATGTGCAATCATGAGTTTCACGATTAATCATGTAAGGAACAGTTATTATTTATATTAGTGTTTTTATTATATGGAAAAGGGTATAATCAGAAAAGCTTCAAGAAAACTGCTATAACTAAAACATCGAACCATCATATTAATATGATTCAGATATTAGTGTATAATTCATCAAATTAGCTATGATTTGTACATGCTTCAAATACAGAAAAAATCGATGTCCCCCACCCCCACATACTCCAATCTGAAGTATTAAAAACTTGGACATCCCCTTTCTATTCCCAAAACGTTCAAAACATACCCCCCCCCCCCCCCCATTATTTTCCTATACGTCATATAAAATATACCAACGATTTATGCTCTTGAGAAAAAAAACCTGTTTTAGTGCAAAAATAAATGAATTTTTGTGGCTGTTGTGCTATCATCTATAAGTCAACGAATTTTTCAGACAATTGAAGGCCGTCTCGATATTTTTAGAAATATATTCATGTTATGAACTTTTCAAGGTTATCGTGAATTTCGACTGACTCTGTATCATGTATGCCGTTTGCATGATGTGTATACATGACTGTATCTATATAAGAATTTAGGTTTTTTTTAATTAAAGATTAACTATCGTTAACAATCCTTATTTTTATTTTATAACAAGCATAGTTTAAAACTCTTACCTCTAAAATGTACCGGCGTCTTTTGAAAACGTAAACAGTACAATTTCGCAATTATCTATTTTTAGACTGAAAATTTTAGTGCTATATTTAGCAGAAAGAAATCGATTTCCAGTATTAAAAATAACTGTTTACCTGGTTTTTCTAAGCTAAATAAAACATATTTGAAATTATGCTCAAGAAAGATTAAAAAAAAAAGAAGGGTACAAACGGTTAGGGTTCACTTAGTTTAAATTGCTTTAAAAGCATAAAGTTACAATATATACTTGCCACTACTCATCATGTATTGTGTTACAACCATAGATAAAGCCGACGAGGAAAGGTCTTGCGTTTTGACCATTATTGAAATGCATGTTTAATGCAGGATATCCAATTTCATTTAACGACATCTTGGTGTAAGTATAAGTTATGGTGTTAGCCCTGTATAACCACAGGTTATCCGACGAGAAAGTCCGTCGTAAAGTTGTAACAAACATGTATTTAGACGTATACTACTAAAATAATATCATATATGAGGTCCAATTTGTTAGCCGTCATTGCGTAAAAACGACAAAGCAAAGAATCTAACTTTATATAATAACTAGTATGGGACAATGGTGTCGATTAATCAAAGAGCATGATTGCTCTGAAGAATACGATCGCCATTGTTTCCATTGATATTTCATGTATTAGTATTCTTTCTCAAAAATAATTCAACTGCACATGTATGATGTATTCCTTATTTGATTCAATCTGAATATAGTTTTTCAATTTTAAACAAATATTCAATCTCTGATACAAGCGTATAATTATTTATACATGAACAATGTATTGTGTTTTAATTTTTCTCTTTCATTCTTGGAAATTCAAACCCACTCATTTTAAAAATATTCCTTCTGAAGGTTATCAATTCCACATACTCAGTGTCAAAAAATACATATGTACAAACATAAAAAAGGGTCAATCTGTTCTTTCTTTGGCTTTATGATTCATATGGCCAAAAATTTTAAAGACTTAGACATCTTCCAAAACTGCAGAATTTCAAATTTACGCTCGTGGTCAAGATACTAAATTCTACCATGTATGAAAGCTTTAGAGAAAATGGTATCTCGAGTAACAATTTTTTACTTGTTTGGCACAGACAGACGGAGTGATGTTTAAATAACTTTAACCTTAAACTATCTAAATGTAAATCAGTAGAATACTAAAACAATTAACATTAAAAAAAAAATCTGAATTTTGCTCGGATATACTGTCTTTTGATCATAAAGAATAGATGCATTTTTTCCAATTCCAGGTGGTTTTCTAAATTCCATGAAATTTGAAAAAGTCAATTTAATATACAGACAAATATAATTTTTTATAAAGTTTTGCACTGGACAATGTCTTTTGATTATTACAAGTCATCTATTCCATAATTGTGGTTCTCCATTTCTTTATGGAAGTTCAATATCAAAGTTTCATAAAGGTAACATAAAAGGAACAGCACCACTTCAGTACTTATCTGACGGAAATAGTTTTATTTCGGAACCACTCTTGCATTTTAACAAACCATTATACATATAGATACTGCTTAATACTGATTTTCCGTATTGTAAATTAAACGCAAATAAAAAAGGGAGTTATCAAAACACGAGGATTATGAAAATAAAATAAACGGAAAGTTTTTTAAAATTAATCTGTATGTTTGTTTTACTCTTTCAAACAAAACAATCTTACGAATCTGTGTTGTTCTTTAATAAAAAGTACAAAATGGTTGACGTGAGAGCCTAAAATTGGAAAGGAGTCCATGGTAAAAGTCTACAGAATGCTTAACAACAATCGTATCCCAAAAGTTACACCATTCCAGGCCCTTGTGTTTTCCACATAATCAATATTACTAATATTTAACAAGTTCCTAGTCGAATCCGATACCGATAACAATAGTATATGTATAAATGTATGTTCTGTATCTTCTCAATCCTCCCCCCCTTTATATCTAGATCAGTGGATCATCAACCATTATATCTCTTGCATTGGAGTAGAAGTGGTTTTAAGTTTATAAGGCGGATATAAAATAACATCTCATATTGTTCAGAATCAAGAAATGTGATGATACATTGCACTGAGTGTTGTATTTACTTTAATTTTCTCACAAATCACTCATATTAGCTTGATACACATCAAATTTAGATGACATTTTTCACTTTAACAAAATTTGCCTGTGGATATAGCTGTTGCATGCTGGATGGTCGTCCTACTAGTATAAGTAATATGACATTCACTTAATCACTGTACTTGAGTTTTTGAATATCTGTATTGTTTATTTTGAATGATCTTTGGTTTTTTATAAATTGTTTTACATTTAATGCAACACAGCTAGTGATTAAAGTTTTACTTCATGCTAAACTGTATGAATATGTAAACTCCATTCTACTATACGCTTTCACTGCACACCAGAACTACAGTTGATGTCCTCCATCATGATCATTGGACATATATGAGGTCATTCAAGCAAAAAAATATCTGATACATGCACCAGTTTACATGAGTTACTTACGCATGTATCACAGGCGTGGTATGACACGCATGATTACATGCGTGAATCATGTAAATCACATGCCTTTTTCACACATGTGTCACAGGCGTGTTTCAATACGCACGAAACACGCATGTGGAACGCATGATTACATGCGTGAATAATGTGTATCACATACATTTTCCACACATGTGTCACATGCGTTGCAGGAAACGTCTCAAACACATGCGTGGTGTGACACATGTGTCATGCATGTACACACGTGTGGCATTTTTGCCTGTGTATCGGAACACCTAAATTATTCATCGGTTTTCGGTGATTTTCTGGTTGCTCAATCTGAAGTTTTTGATGTTGAATTGTGTTGACTAGTTTGTTTGTCTTTTCGCTGTTTTTCGTTGTTTGCCTTTTTTATTTCCCATAGGCATGTTTAAATTGAGGAAGCCTTTTAGTTAATCACAACATCTGCTTTTTTAAATATTTTTTTATCTCGTGTGAGAGAAAATCTATATCTTGTTTATAATCAATTTATCTTTTTCTAACCAAGGTTTTATCTAGAAACATATATTTACTTCTAATAAACTCTGGTTACGGAGCGCTTAAATGAAATCCAAACCATTTAGTCTATCCAAAATTGATTCTTAGAATTAAAGGCAAAAAAACAAACAGTCATACTTATAATAAATAAGGTCAATAACTTTTTAAGGAGTCTAACATGAGTATATTGATTGCTTTAGTCATATCCACTTTTTTATATCTATGCTATTGCTGATCTCATCTTATCTACAGTTTACAGTAACTGTCAATATGCATGTATTTGAGTAGATCAAGTCAGTATTATACTTAACAAAAAGTTATACCTTGTTTTTAAACAATTGATGGTTTTAAATATATAAGCTTTTGTAGATCTTAAGATGCTGATCATTTTATGTCTATCTGAAATAGTTTTTAAGATCGCAAAGGGTTCTGAAGCGGTTAAGACATTTTGACGATGCTTTTTTTAAACTATGTGTCCTTTTTTTATTTTTCCAGTAAGTTGTCTTTCTGTTGGTATTTTTATTGCATTTTGCGACACATGGTCTATCATATTTTTTTTCTCTAAATGTTTTGAGCTTAATTAGACCGTTAGTTTGTTCATTGGAATTGTTTTAATTTATCATATCTGGGCCTTTCATAGCTTAATTGCTATGCGATAAGGGTTGTACTCATTGTTAAAGGCCGTACGATGTGCTCATTGTTAAAGGCCGTACGATGACCTATATTGGAATACTTTGTCTTATTAGTAATTATACCACATCTTTTGTCATATAGATTTTAAGATCAGATCCTACATTTATGTACAAAAAATTTAGTCCTGCAAAATATGTGACTGTACCAAGTCAGACTATTTAGACCATTTGTTATTGCTTGTACATTTCTATCAGAAAGTCTGACATACATGTATGGGGTTGCTGTAGTCTGCTCAATATTTGGGGTATTTCTATTGTCCCTCTATGAACAATGAATAAATAAAAAAAGGGTTATCAATTAAAAAATCGTATGCATTTACAATAACACTTTTCTTTAGTTTAACGACAAACAGCGTTTCTTAGAAATCATATATATCTCCAACATTGAGTGATAGCTGTAAATGTATGTAGATATTTTATAAGTGAATGTACAAACAAATATAAACAAAAAAGATGTGGTATGATTGCCAATGAGACAACTATCCACCAAAGTTCAAATGAATTACATGTAAGCAATTATAGGCAACCGTTCATCCTTCAACAATGAGAAAACCCCATACCGTATAGTTAGCTATAAAAGGCCCCGACATGAAAAATATGAAGTAATTTAATTAAGAAAACTAACGGCCTAAATTATAACAAACAATTTACGAAAAAGAAATATGACGGACATGAAACAACGACAACCACTGAACTACAGGCTCCTGACTTGGGACAGACACATAACGAATGTGACCGCTCAATCCTACCCTAACCTCGGACAGTGGTGTAACAGCACAATATAAGAACAAACTATGAAAATCAATTGAATATGTCTCAACTCATCAGATCAATACAAAGCAGAACAATCATCTAAAAAAAACGCAGACCGGACGTGGAAGGGTATTTATACATCCCTAACAACAAAAGACACCCAGTACGTATCTGAGTGTACTCGCGCTTACTGACAACTAGTTTAAAGCCAATAACAACTAGTAAACGAAATCATGTATCTAGGACTAATATATCAATCATTACACATCCAACATCAAATGGATTTAGTGTAAAGATGCCATTAACAGTCAGAGAAAAATATGTATTAATATAAGGCAAATACGATGCTGGTCGGCAACAGGTCAATAATACACCAATCCGAAGACAAAATAAGATGTCCAATGTGCAACACATAGTTTTTGATTTAAATCGAAGTCATGGAACATGTCTATGGTAGAACTGTTCTAGGTTAAGAACAATTTAGAATAGTTTTATGACATATTATTCTTCACCTTCAATGTCATGCTTGAGGTGTTGTCCTAATTTTTACTGATCAAAT